GTGCCCCCTCTGCTCCCCCCCCTCAAATCAAGCACTTCTGGAACGTCCTCCCCTTCCCCCCCCCCCCATTGCCTTATGAAATAATCAGAGCTGGTTAGCAGCCCCTGGCAGGAGGAGGAGAAGGAGGAGGAGAGGCACTTTGAAGGAAACTGTCTAAAAAGGGCTTTCAAAGGCAGGGCTCCATCAATTTGTCAGCAAATGGGCCGTGCTGTCCTTTGCACACACCCGTCTCACACAGGAACACACAGGGACACACACACACACACACACATGGCCAGACCCTGGCGTGGCGTCTTCGCCAGTTCTTGCAAGATTTCAACTCACCGTTCAGAAGGGAGATAAGATTGGCCCTGTTCTTCTACAAAGACAGGCAAAGAAAGGGGATTGCTACGGGGGGGGGGCTTCAAAAGAGGAAGGAGTCTGATTAAAGCACACACTGCTTGGGGGAAAGAGAGGGAGGGGAAGAGGAGAAGGAGGACCCTGGCCCCGTTTAAATGTTTAACTTTTACGTATTGCTTTTGTATTTTAATATTTCATTGTACACCCCCCCCCAGGAGTGCCACTGTGAGGAAAAGGGCCAGTTTAGAAATGATGGCAAAATGCAGATAGATAGATAGATAGATAGATAGATAGATAGATAGATAGATAGATAGATAGATAGATAGATAGATAGATAGATATAGTTAGATACAATACATAGATGATAGATAGATAGATAGATGATTGAGATTGTTAGATACAAAACAGATGATAGATATAGATGATAGATAGATGATAGATAGATGATAGATAGATAGATGATAGATAGCTAGATAGATATAGATGATAGATAGATGATAGGTGATAGATATAGATGATAGAAATAGATGATAGATAAATGATAGATGATAGATGATAGATATTGATAGATAGATAGATGATAGATGATAGATAGATGATAGATGATAGATAGATGATAGATAGCTAGATAGATATCAATAGATGATAGATAGATGATAGATGATAGATATAGATGATAGAAATAGATGATAGATAAATGATAGATGATTGATAGATGATTGATAGATGATTGATAGATGATAGATGATAGATAGATGATAGATAGATGATTGAGATAGTTAGATACAAAACATAGATGATAGATAGATATATAGATAGATAGATAATGATAGAGATAGATATAATGCATAGATGATATAGATCAGTGGTGGCGAACCTATGGCACGCGTGTCAGAGGCGGCACTCGGAGTCCTCTCTGTGGGCACGCATGCCATTGCCCCAGCCCTGCCTCCCCCTACAGCCCCCTCCTCACCAGCAGCCCCCCTGGAGGAGAGTCGCTCCCGGGCGTGGCCTGCACGGAGCAGCGCAGCCAAGGACGTAGCCGGGCAACAGGGACACGACTCCGCCCTCATGCCCCATAGTGTGCAGATGATGCTGCGGAGTGTGGGCGGAGGGCGTGGCTGCCATGGCGCTGCAGGGCTGCCTGGGCGATCTGCGGTGGGCCATGGAGGCAGTGCGTGGCTCTGCAGGCGGACGGGGCAGAGGGCGGAGCAGGCAGGGCGGGAGGCAGGGCAGGGGGCGGTTTTTGGGCACTCGGTCTCTAAAAGGTTCGCCATCACTGATATAGATGATAGATGATAGATATAGATAGATAGATCGATAATAGATAGAGATAGATAGATAGATAGATAGATAGATAGATAGATAGATAGATAGATAGATAGATAGATAGATAGATAGAGTGCAATACATAGAGGATATAGATACAGATACAAAGATGATAGATATAGATGATAAATAGATAGATACAGTAGATAAATACAATAGATAGATGATAGATAGATGAGAGAGAGAGAGAGAGAGAAGATGGATGGATGGATGAAAAGTAGTAATAAATATAATTTTAAAGTGCTCTCTCTCTCTCTCTCTTTCTGTGTGTGTGTATGTGTGTGTGTACTTGTGTGCGTGTGAGAGAGCTGCAGCTTTCCAAAAACCTATGCCTTTGAATAAAAAGGTGCCATCAGATTCTTGACTTTTTTTGCCAGAGAGATCAACCCCCTTCTCCTACAGTGAGTCCTCCCAGCCAGTGGGACCCAAGGACATCCCTTTAACCATGGCTTATTTGACTAACTATCCTGGGGCCTAATAGCCAAGGTTGGCGGCTCTTTCTGAGTGACCTCCTTTTTTTGCAAATAAGATTCTGCAGAAAAGCTTGGCCTGGCTCCCCCAGGGATGGAAAGGGCTGGCTCCCCGCAATGGGGGTGGTGGGGGACTTCCGCTTCCTTTCCTTCCTTTGGCCTCCCCCCAAATTCCCATCTTCCCCCCCCCTTGAAATTATCCCACTCCTTCTTGGCACATTTGCTTTGTGCAATGATGCTGTCTATTTATCCTGCCGAAAGGCTGCAATTGTCAAAGACCACAACAGCTGTTCAAAGTGAGGCATTAAGAGAAGGAAGTGCCCAAGTCAGCAACTCTCACAACCCCGTGGAGAGTCTTCCTAACAAAAGCCAGCGCATCTTCCTCCAGGTGGGGGGGGGGGAGAGAACGGGAAAAGAGGAAGCCGGAAACATCTGTATCGTTTGCAGGCTTGGGTGGGGCTAGGGTCTCTGGGGCTCTCTTCCCCACCAGCTGAGCTTTGCCAAGGTCAGGAGGGCCCCTTCCCAAAGCAGGTGTTTTTCTACCCTCTGGCTGCCGGGGGTCACCTGCCCTGGACCTCTCCAAATGCGGGTCCTGGATGCTCTCTGAGCTTGGTCACTGTTTGGCAGACGTTTCATTACCTGACTAGGTAACATCATCAGTGCCAAGGAGTGAGGATTGCAGAGAGGAGGAAAAGAAAAATGGAGAGGAGGAGGAGGACACTCTGTGGCCTTTGGTGTTCTCTGAACTTGGATGTTTTCTTGCAGACATTTCATTACCCAACTAAATAACATCATCAGTGGTAGAAGGGAGTGGAGCTTGTGGAGAGGAGGAGGAGGAGGAGGAGGAGGAGGAGGAGGAGGAGAGAGGAAGGTTGGGTCCTTGATGCTCCCTGAGCTGGGTGGTTTTCTTCCAGACATTTCATTACCCAACTAGGGAACATCATCATTGGTAGAAGGGAGTGGAGCTTGTGGAGAGGAGGAGGAGGAGGAGGAAGATTGTGGGGTCCTTGGTGCTCTCGGAGCTTGGTGGTCTTCTTGCAGACGTTTCATGACCCAACTAGGTAACATCATCAGTGCTAGAAGGGAGGGGGGTTTGAAGGGAGGAGGAGGAGGAGGACTGTGGGGTCCTTGGTGCTCTCTGAGCTGGGTGGTTTTCTTGCAGATGTTTCATGACCCAACTAGGGAACATCATCAGTAATCTTCCTTCCTTCTTCCTTTCCAACTTCCCTCCCTCCCTCCCATCTTCCTTCCTTCCTTCCTTCCTTCCTTCCTTCCTTCCTTCCTTCCTTCCTTCCTTCCTTCCTTCCTTCCTTCCACGGTGCTCTCTGAGCTGGGTGGTTTCCTTGCAGGCGTTTCCTTATCCAACTAGATAACGTCATCAGTAATCTTCCTTCCTTCCTTCCTTCCTTCCTTCCTTCCTTCCTTCCTTCCTTCCTTCCTTCCTCGGTGCTCTCTGAGCTTGGTGGTTTCCTTGCAGACGTCTCCTTACCCAACTAGGTAACACCATCAGTGCTGGAAGGGAGGGGGGGTCTGCTCTCTGTTTCTATACAAATGGCTCTTCTGCCAGTGTGGGTGGGAGTGGTCTTGTAGTGCCTTGATTGCGGTGTGGCCCCGAGATAAGCATCTCCCCAAATTGTTAGGATCCCTGAAACAGAGAGTCACTTCCCACAATGGGCTTTACAGCAGCCTCATGTAGACACAAAAAGGAAATGTGTTTGTGTGTAAAGATGTACAGCTATGAGCTTCGGAGATGGGTCCAAAAAAGCCAACATGGCGGCTGAAACCACGTCGTCAACGCAGAGTTGGGGATGCCCCCAGGCCGCTTTTTTTGACCTCCCCCCTCCCCACAGATGGCCTCAATGCCGGATTTCCAGAACAGTGACCTACCAGGGCAACATCTTCACCGGATTTGCAGCTTTGCTCCTGGCTAGTAGGAAGAGAACCCGTTTTCTCCTGGGGAGACCTTTGGGCATGGACTGACTCCACCCTGGAGTTAACCATAAAGAAGCAGTGGCTGCGCTTGTCCGGTGCCACCGACATTGTCCAGCTGCCGTGGCTCCTTCTCCCTGTGGACCTGTGGGCTGCCCCCTTTTTCAGGTTCTCCAAATGGGGAATCCCCCCCCCTACTTCTTTCCCCACATAGAATATACGTCAGTACGTGGGAATAGGCCATTTTTTTGGTCTATTTATGTAGTGTATATTGGAGGAGGTGATCCTTTTGAGAGCTGCATGCAACGAAATTTCATTTTAATGTATGCTGATTAGTGTGCATATAAAATGAAAACGAAGTTATTATTCTATTCTATTCTATTCTATTCTATTCTATTCTATTCTATTCTATTCTATTCTACTCTATTCTATTCTACTCTACGCTACTCTACTCTATTCCATCCTATATTTTCTACTCTACTCTACTCTACTCTACTCTATTCCTATATTCTACTCTATTCTATTCTATTCTATTCTATTCTATTCTATTCTATTCTATTCTATTCTATTCTATTCTATTCTATTCCATTCCATTCTCTATTCTGTCCTGTCCTGTCCTATCCTATCCTATCGGGTGTGGAAGGAAAGAATTTTTTTCCTGTGGTCCTTCTTTTGGTTTGAGATGGGCAGATGTCATTCGAGAAGTGATTAGATCTCTGGGAATGTTCTTGAATGGGAGCGTCCAACTTTGACAACTTTCAGACCGGCTGGGATATCTGGGAGTTGAAATCCACAGGTCTTAAAGTTGTCAAGTTTTGGGAGACCCCTCTGCCCTAACAGGTCCAAACTGACACCTTGAAAGGTCTGCTGACCACCTTCTGCCAGGTTCAGCGACCATTCATGATCAACTCTGGAGTATTCCGACCTCATGATATGCCATTCTGCCTTAATTACACCACCAATAAAAGACTGTACAGGACCTGTTTATCCATTAGAGACTTTTAGTGGGCCATTAAAGTTACTCTGCAGTGGTTGTGTGCTACTAAGTCTCTCTCTATCCTGGCAATGAAACAAAAACAAAACCCTACAGCTTTCAGGGCAAAGTGGTTCCCATCCCTCTTGTGATCCACTCAAGAAGGTCTTCTGCCATTTCATTAATGACTTTCGGAGGAAACCAAAGTGCTCTGGACATGTTGCCAACTTCTCTGATGGTCCAGAAATCCTCACCCAACGGATGGAGGACCTTTTGAAGACTTTCGAGAAGGACCCACGCCATTTGCCCAACCCTTTGTTGACGAAGTAGCTCCACCAAGCCATTTTGAAGGCAAGTTCTTCATCGTTGAAAGAGAGGCCGGAAGTTCTGGCTAGACCTTATCACCATTGCTTGCTTGATTGCAGATTCTGGATAGACTTCAGCCAGATCTCTGGATGAGATGCTTCTCCTGAAAGCAAAATGGAAAACCAGAACGCTATTCTCTGCCCGTCCTGGAATCAATCATGGCTGGCTGGGGAATTCTGGGAGTTGAAGTCCACGTCTCAAAGTCTCAAAGTTTGAGAAACACATCTATGAACTGAGTATTTGGCCAGTGTCTGCAGCTCCTCTTAGATGCTCTTCTCGGATTTTTTTCCAAACTCTCAACATCTTTTTTGTGATATGGTGACCAGAATTGGCTGCAGTATTCCAGGTGTGGTCTTACAAAGGGTTTTATAAAGCAGTACTAATACCTCGCATGATCTTGATTCTATGCCTCTGTTTATACAACCCAGGATTGTATTCGCTTTTTTGGCTGCTGCTGCACACGGCTGGCTCAGGGTCAAGGGATCGTCCATTATCCCAGGCTGAGCGGCTGCGATAGCTTGAAAGTTTGCTCAGAATATGATCGATAAGAAATCTTGCCTTGATGGGACAAATGTTCATAGTGTTGAGCCTCAGAAAACCCAAAGGATTTGGCTCCAGCCAATTGTACCGCAGGACCTTAGACTCCTACTGGACTATCCTTTAAACATGAGCCAGCCGTGTGCAGCAGCAGCCAAAAATGCTAACACAATCCTTGGTTGCATAAACAGAGGCATAGAATCAACTTCACGTGAAGTATTAATGCTGCTTTATGATGCCTTAGTATGGCCACACCTGGAATACTGCGTTTTGGACACCACACCACAAAAAAAAAAAAAAAGTGCAAAGAGCAGCAACTAAGATGATCAAAGGCCTGGAGACTAAAACATATGAAGAACGGTTGCAGGACTTGGGTATGGCCAGTCTAGAGAAAAGAAAGACTAGGGGGGGACATGATAGCAGCATTCCAGTATTTGAGGGGCTGCCACAAAGAAGAGGAGGGGGTCAAATTATTCTCCAAAGCACCTGAAGGCCGGATAAGAAGCAACGGATGGAAACCAATCAAGGAGAGAAGCAACCTGGAACTAAGGAGAAACTTCTTGATAGTGAGAAGAATTAACCAGTGGAACAACCTGCCTCCAGAAGTTGTGAATGCTCCAACACTGGAAGTTTTTAAAAACAGACTGGACAGCTATTTGTCCAGAATTGTAGAGGCTCTCCTGTTTGAGCAGGGGGCTGGACTAGAAGACCTTCAAGGTCCCAGTTCTATTCTGATTCTGATTCTGACTCTGAAGAGCTGCTTGCCTCAGTCGAGAAATTTGGAAAGGACAAGGATTTTTTCCCCCAAACCATCAACTCAATGGCAACCTTACAAAACTTCCTTTTTTTTTTTGCACTTTGGTTTAAAAACAAAACAAAACACAAAGAGAACAGAGGAATTAACTAGATCAACAGAATACAGCTATTATAACATTCCTTTAGTGAGTGTTCAAAGTTATTGAAAAAGTGACAGGATCGTTTTTCACACTTAACGACCATTGTCGCATCCCCAGGATCATGTGATCAAAGTTCGTACGCTTGGCAACTGTCTCGTATTTATGGGGGTTGCAATGTCCCCTGGGATCACGTGATCCCCCTTTGTGACTTTTCAGACAAGCAGAGCGACTGGGGGAAGGCAGATGCTTAACAATTAACAATTGCAGCGATTCACCTCCCAGCTCTGCCGAGAAAAGTCGTAAAATGGGACAAAACTCACTTAACTCAGTTAGCAACAGAAATTTTGGAGTCCACTGTGGTCATAACTCATGGACTGCCTTTTATTCGTGTCTGCAATTCAACAGTAAAACTGCGACACGTTGGAAGCCCCTAGAGACGTTACAAAAAATTAAAACGTTGCCTGCTTGCACATCCGTATTTATTTCACGGAAAAAGTTGAGAGTCAGATAAGAAAATTAAGCCAGTTTGTTGTTGTTGTTGTTGTTGTTGTTGTTGTTGTTATTATTATTTCATGGAGAGAATTGAGCACTTCCTCTATGCAAAGGTGCAATTCATCTGGGGTAGGATCGTGTCCGAAACGTCGCCAAGACACTTCCAATTTGATGCAGGAGAAAACCCAAATAACCAAAGACCTACATGCAAACACTCGCGAAAACCTCAGAAAATATATATATATATATATATATATATATCCAAATTTCTTTTTCTGACAAAGAGTTAAAGAATTAAATTGGGAGACTAAGAGGGGAGGAAAGCCTGTGGCTTGGTGGTTAAATCACTGCCTAGTATGTAAACTGCCCAGGTTCGAATCCCATAAAGGGTGTGGCTAACTGAAGAGAGCAGAATGAGCTCAAAATGGCCATCTTAGTCTCCCAATTTAATTCTTTAACTCTTTGTCAGAAAAAGAAATTTGGATTTGTAAATGTTTCGTAGTTGCGACTTGAACCTGCTTAACGCCCCTAGTTGGGGGTCTGCAAGGCAAAAGAGATTGTAAAAAGTATAACTGCAGTATAGCAGTTAAAAATGTCAAGGTGTAATCAATCAGACCAGTCTGTCTGAAAAACTTCCTGTGTATGTATGTATATATATATATATATATAAAACCAAAGACCTACATACAAACACCCCGCGAAAACCTCAGAAAACATACACACACACACACACACACACACACACACACACACACACAGACACACACACATATATATATATTTCCAACAGTATTTCTCTTTTTTAATTATTGAAAGAGGAATATCACCAGGGGAACAAGAAAAGCAGAAAAAGCTTGAAAATCCGGAATGAACTTCGCAGAAATCTATATGGTTCAGATTTTACACTCCCGTAGAATAACAAATCAGACTCATTTTTATTGATAAAACTATCTATTTTCTTGTCTGTTTATATTATATTAGGGATGTAATTTCTCCAATGGCTCAACACAGAGAGATAAATGAAAGCTTAACAAATTACTGATCTCTATATAAATGGGAACCGGCTCCACCACAGATAAAACCAAAATTAAAATTGCATTAGAACAATAACCCCGATCTAAGCCAAAAGCACTTCATTTTTAAAATGCCGGATTTGCATTAATTAAAACAGCCTAGTATACTAATATTCTAATTATCACTGCAGTCACAACAATAGTAATATAAGCTACCGTAGAAAGGGTATTCTAATGGTATAAAATTCTTTACATTTTGGAGGAATAAATGAGTCGCTCTCTTTAGGTTTGCTGATTGCTTCCAAATAGTCACAAAAATTACAAAAATTATTAAAAAGCTGAATCGTTTCCCTTCAGAATCTCTAGTGGGGATCTGGGGGGGGGGAGAACAGTGCTGTTTCCTTCAGTTGGTGGACCTCAGCCTGGATTTCTAAGTATTTAAATTCAAATTTAAATTCAGAATGGAGCTGAGAGGCACCTTGGAGGTCATCTAGTCTAACCCCCTGCTCAGACAAGAAACCCTACACCATTTCAGACAGATGGCTGTCCAGCCTCTTCTTAAAAACTTCCAGTGTTGGAGCATTCACCGCTTTGGAGGCAGGTTGTTCCACTGGTTAATTGTTCTAACTGTCAGGAAGTTTCTCCTTAGTTCTAGGTTGCTTCTCTCCTTGATTGGTTTCCATCGTTGCTTCTTGTCCTGCCTGGAATAGTTTGGAATGGAATGGAATAGAACAGAACATAGAACAGAACAGAATAGGAAGAAAAGAACAGAATAGAATAAAAGAATGTAGAATAGAACAGAATGTAGAACAGAATGTAGAATAGAATAAAGCAGAAGAGAAGAGAAAATAGAATAGAATAGAAAAAGGAATAGAATAGAATAGAATAAGGAATAGAATAGAAAAAGGAATAGAATAGAAAAAGGAATAGAATAGAACAGAACAGTAGAATAGAAAAAGGAATTGAATCGAATCAAATAGAATAGAATAGAATATAGGGATAGAATAGAGAAGAGAATTAGAATAGAATGAATGGAATAGAATAAGGAAGAGAAGAGAAGAAAAGAGAAGAGAATTAGAATAGAATAGAATAGAATAGAATAGAATAGAATAGAATAGAATAGAATGGAATGGAACGGAACAGAACAGAACAGAATAGAGCTGGGAGGGACTTTGGAGGTCATCTAGTCCAACCCCCTGCTCAAGCAGGAGACCCTTAGACCATTTCAGACAAATGGCTGTCCAATCTCTTCTTAAAAACCTCCAATGATGGAGCACCCACAACGTCTGGTGGCAAGCTGTTCCCCTGGTTAGGGGGACAGCTTGCCACCAGACTTCCTCACTGTTAGGAAGTTTCTCCTTAATTCCAGGTCGTAGGACTTTCTAATAGCCCCACACATATTGGAATACTACTATCGTATCACCTCTAAGTAACAATTAGGTAAAAGTGGAAAAAAACAGACATGAAAAAAAAACAAACCACTCACAGCCAAGACGAACAAACTAATGGAATTTAAAATTTCCCCATTAGCACCAAACCCCGAGGGATTCTTTGGCTAAGGGAGCTGTGGAGATCACTCTGGAAAGAACTCAGACAGCTCCACGAGAAGAAAGAAGGCCGGAGAAGCTGGCCCACCCATCTAGACCTCCCATCGTTTCAATGCAGGTCTCCTCAAAGCGTCTTCTAGCTGCCTTTGATCCGGCCGAGAGGACCACGGGGCTCTTTTAGGCTTCTGCACACGAGGACCAGAAGGAGGACAACCCTGATCAGCCCCAAGATGCTTTCCAGAAAGGTAATAGGAGGTATGATCCGGTCTTCTTGAAGGACACTACGTTGGACAAGAATCTCACAAGAGTCCAGAAGGCAAGACTGAGCCTCTGAAACAGCCCCATATCTGCTTTGCTGGCTGAAGGTTGAGCCCCACAGCCTCGCCCCCTGCTTCTTTTTCCAAAAAAAGGACCCCTTCAAGAAGCTAGCAAAGAATCCCTCTGAGGGAAGAACAGCCATGGAATAGAATAGAATAGAATAGAATAGAATAGAATAGAATAGAGAATAGAATTAAGAATAAGAATAGAATTAAGAATAAGAGTAGCGTAGAGTAAAGAATAAGAATAGAATAGAAATAAGAATAAGAAATAGAATAGAATAGAATAGAATTAAGAATAAGAGTAGAGTAGAATTAAGAATAAGAATAGAATAGAATAGTAGAGTAAAGTATAAACAGAGTAGAATACAATAGAAATAATAATAGAATAGAAATAATAGAATAGAAATAATAATAGAATAGAATAGAATAGAACAGAATTAAGAATAAGAATAGAATTAAGAATAAGAGTAGAGTAGCGTAAAGAATAATAGAATAGAAATAAGAATAAGAAATAGAATAGAATAGAATTAAGAATAAGAATAGAATTAAGAATTAGAGTAGAGTAGAATTAAGAATAAGAATAGAAATAAGAATAACAGAATAGGAATAAGAGTAAGAGTAAGAGTAAGAATAAGAATAGAATAGAATAGAATAGAATAGAATAGAATAGAATAGAATAGAATAGAATAGAATAGAATAGAATAGGAGTAGAGTAGTGTAGAGTAGAGTGGAGTAAAATATAGAGTAAACAGAGTAGAATACAATAGAAATAATAACAGAATAGAAATAAGAATAGAATAGAATAGAATATAGAATAGAATAGAATAGCAGAGTTGGAAGGGACCTTGGAGGTCTTCTAGTCCAACCCCTGCTCAGGGAGGAAAAAGATCCCGAGATACTTCTGATTAAGCCTCTGCTCTTCCTAATAAGCCCAGAGCAATAACATCCAATTAAAAATAATATACTTTCCCCAAATAATACAGCTCTGGGCTGTTTGGATCAAAGTGCCATAGAGAGAATAAAGTTGCCAACGTCACCTGAGCTGAAAACGGCAGGATTTCGCACCGGGGAGCCAGTATCACAAAGGAGATTGCATGTGTAGACAAGCTATTCCTAGATCAACGATAAAAAAAGATATATCACTAAAAGGCAGAGGGCAACATTTCCTAAAGAGGACAAATACGGATCCTCCTTGTCTGTGGAGATTCTCCATCATCCGGGTCCTACTTGTCCCCAAAGATGTTTTTTCAAGAGGCAACTGGACTTTCTTTGTTTTTCTTTGAAGACGTTTTGCTTTCCATCCCAGAAGCTTCTTCAGCTCTGACTGGATGGTGGGGAATGGAAGGATCGTCGTTGAGGCCATTTGGAGGTTTATCTGAATCCTCAGCGTCATCTTAGTGCAAAGGTTTGTAGTGCAAGAAGGCTCCACCCCCATTTGCACCACTCAGGTGACCCTGAGGACACAGGTAAACCTCCAAGTGGACTCAACGACTCTCCAAAAGGAGGCAAAGGACCGGCTGTCTGCAAGGAGTATAAATCCTTCCCTTCCCCACTATCCAGGCAGAGCTGAAGAAGCTTCTGGGATGAGAAGTGAAATATCTTCAAGGAAAAACAAGAAAGTCCAGTGGCCTCCTGAAAAAAAAAAGAGCACCTTTGGGGCAGATACCCCTCGACTCACCCTTCATTTAGTGACCGTTCAAAATGATGACTTATGCCCGTTTTTTTTTCACACGGCCATTGCACCATCCCCAGGGTCACGCAATCCAAACTGAGACTGTTGGCCACTGATTCGTGTTTATGACGGTGGCAGCGTCCCCCAGGTGACGTGGGATCCCCTTTGGCGGCCTTCTAACAAAGCAAAGTCAACGGGGGGAGGCAGATTCGCTTAACAACTGGGGCAAGGAAGGTCGTAAAATGGGGAGAGACTTAACCACGGTCTCGCTTAGCAACGGAAACTTTGACCTCCACTGTAATGGTAAGGGGGTAGGGAGGCGCTCCACCTTTTGCTAAAGCATCCTCTCGGTTTTTAAAGGCACCCCTTTATTACTTGGAAGCTGCAAAATAAAAACGCAATTCTACTGCCTTTCTAGCCAGGTTGAACGGCGGCCCGGATGCATCGCGATTAAAATCCAATGTAAACCCACAACTGCATTGAAAAGACGTCCGGCAGAAAACACACAGAATCTCAATAAAATATAAAGAGCTGGCATCGATCATGATATCCCCATCATTTCTCCCCGAGATTGAAAATAAAAGGGCTGGACATCCCCAAAGCTGGACCGTGGACAGAATTCAAATGGGGCGCAAATGCATTTCAAATTATACATGTTAAAAAGCTGCCTGTAATTTTTAAAAAAAACAAGCACCTGATTTCGTTCCAGCACAGCTTGGCAATAAAGGTACATTTTGGGCTGAGATCTACCCTTTAATTGTGCTTCTAGCGTTTTATTGCAATCTCCAAAATTTCAGAAACTTTTAAAAATTCCACTAGCAGCTTGTAAAGATACCTTCAGCCAAATTACACAATACCCTCTTTTAGTAATTAACCATTTCTCTTTTTTTTTTTTAAAAAAAAACACCTTTTCCCTCCAAAAATCATATACGCCGGCTTCCGCCACCACCGTTTACACATTGCTCCTTTTATCTAGTTTGTTAATATTATAATGCGTAACGCTTTAACACATTTAAACTTTTTAATTGTCTAGAATGGTTACTTTTGATACTATCAGCCAGCTAGAGTCGCTTAATTGAGAGATGGGCGGCATATAAATTTAAATTGAATAAATAAACGAATGCATGCCTTTTGAAAGCAGAACAAAATGGATCTTAGAAATAATTACTATAAAACTATAATGAATTCATGCAAAATTCATTTATTGTGCATGAATTTTAAATACAGGGATACCAAGATTTAAAAACCGATGTCAGTTTTTGTGAAGGCACCAAACATGGAAGATATGGAAAAATATGTCTATTAAATGATAAGTAGTAGGTGAAAACAAAAATAAGCATTTCAAGTATTAAAATATATTTGCTCCAATTAGTTTCTCGCATTTTTTTTTGTGCATTTGGATTACAAAAAAACCCCCACTCACCAATATTCAAATCTGCATTTAACTTCAGTACCTTCACACTGGACCCAATTTGACGGCAAACTCTATTATGTAATACATTTTCACTGTATTTAATTGATAACATACAACGGTATTGGATGTACGAAAATAACTGCTGGCTGGAGAAACACATGACTGATTTTAGGCAGAGCAAAAGAGTTTACCGATTTTGCTAGCCAATCTAGAACAGCTTTAAAAATAATAATACAATAGCTACAACGCCCCAGAACTATTTTAACTTTAAAGAAAGGGTAGGAGCCAAAGTGGAATTCTGCTGGCCATTTTAATAGACTGGAAAGGTTTCAGCTGGAATTGGAAACCTTGTTAGAATTCCTTTTCAAAGAGAAAAGAGTTTTTCTTTTCGGAGTAAGAAATGGGATTAAAAGACGCTATGAATTACATTTCCTATTTGGGAAAGAGGCTACCAGACTCCTGATCTTGGGCTACCATACGTGGTTGTCTTCCCACAACATCCATCCAAAAATTCAAAATCAAATCTCAAGTTGCCTCCCTCCTTATCAAGCACCTGTTTTGGAGAGAGGCAAAACTCAAGGCCGAAAGAGGCCCAGCTGTTCCGGGTGGGAGGGGACACAGGACTTCCTCCGTGGGCCGTTGAACGTGCTGGCATGTTGGGCTACAGACCAGAGGAGACAAAGCTACCCCCCCCCCCGGTTCTCCTCCTCGTGGCCACATTCACCCAACGAGCAAGCTGAGCTCCAAGGCTGGAAAGCCCACCTCCCAACATCTGGATCCTGCTCCACCAGACTCTCCATACAAGGTTCACACCAGAGGCTGGACAGTTCAAAGCTACCCTCTCAAAAGCTAGTCCAAGAATTTGCATGGGCCTAGTTTAAAGCAATGTTGTGACGGTAAAACAGCTATGGTGAGCGACAAAGACAAATACTTATTGCAACAGAAGAGGAGCTCGGCCACTCAGGGTTGAACTGTGGGGTTCCTGGTGCTCCCCAAGCTGGGTGGTTTTCTTGCAGATGTTTCATGACCCAGCTAGGTAACCTCATCAGTGCTAGAAGGGAATAGGGTCTGTGGAGAGGAGGAGGAGGAGGAGGAGGAGGAGGAGGAGGAGGAGGAGGAGGAGGAGGAGGAGGAGGAGGAGGAGGAGGAGGAGAAAAGGATTGTGGGGTCCTTGGTGCTCTCTGAGCTGGGTGGTTTTCTTGCAGACGTTTCATGACCCAGCTAGGTAACATCGTCAGTGCTAGAAGGGAATAGGGTCTGTGGAGAGGAGGAGGAGGAAGAGGTGAAGGAGAAAAGGACTGTGGGTCCTTGGTGCTCTCTGAGCTTGGTTGCTTGCTTAGAGATGTTGAAAAATGAGATAATAAAAGCCCAGTCTAGCACAATACCAACAAAGAAGAAAAACAACAGCTCTCAAAAGAAACCAGCATGGCTGCATAAAGAACTCTCAGCTTGGTTTTCTTCCAGACTTTTCAGGACCCAGCTAGAAGGGAGTGGGATTTGTGGAGAGGAGGAGGAGGAGGAGGAGGAGGAGGAGGAAGCTTATGGAGTCCTTGGTGCTCTCTGAGCTCGCTTGTTTTCTTGCAAACATTTCATGACCCAGCTAGGTAATATCGTCAGTTCTAGAAGGGAGTGGGGTTTGTGGAGAGGAGGAGGAGGAGATGGTGGCAGTGGTGAGGGGTCCTTGGTGCTCTCTGAGCTGGGGGGGTTTCCTTGCAGGCATTCCATGACCCAACTGGGTAGGCTTTGATACACTGAGGATGTTTCCTAGTTGGGTCATGAAACGTCAGCAGGAAAACCACCAAGCTCAGAGAGCACCAAGGAGCCCACAATACTCCTCCTCCTCCTCTTCCTCCTCCTTCCTCCAAACTCCCTTCTAACTTTGATGATATTCCCTAGCTGGGTCATGAAACGTCAGCAAGAAAACCACCCCACTCAGGGCGCACCAAGGACCCCATAAATACTTACGCATGTCGTGGTCTTCTTTTTCCCTCTTAAAAAGGCAGCATTCCCACTGCACTTGATTTCCTTCCCTCTCCAACGCCAGCGGATTCACCTTGCCAACACACTGGCAGTCAGAGAGGTTGGACTAGAACTCAGGACCTCTGTCCAACCTGCTGAGCATTTGAGCCAACCCATCCAACATTTTCTGCGGGAGGTTGGCTGTCCTCTCTGCCTTCCTCCCCTCGGTCAACGCAGACGGAAAGGTCCACCGGAAAGGGATCTACACTTGGAAACCAGAGGAGCTGGAAGGCAACTTGGGATCAACCAGCAGAACCATCAAAACATGTGTAGGGAACCCAATTAAACCACTATTTAAAGCCTCATCAGTGGAAAACTTGTTCAGGCACATACAGATAGTTACAACCATTCCTTTTAGTGACCGTCTGAAGCACTGAAAAAAGGGACTTGTGATCTTTTTTCACATCTACAACCGTTGGTGACAGGATCAAAATCCGGACACCGAGCCACTGACTCACACTTATGACAGTTGCAGCATTCCGTTGAGCCCCTTCTGACAAGCTAAGTCAACCGGGAAGTTACTTAACAACGTTGTCGTTACCGTAACAACTGCGGTGGGGGTCAATTAACAATGGTGGCGAGGAAGATCGTCAAAGAAAGGGGCAAAATCCATTTAACAACGGTCTCCCTTAGCAACAGAAATTCTAAGCTCCGTTGTGGCAGTAAGTCAAGAAACGCCTGTAACAGTCAACGCTGCCCAGATCAATATGTAAAATAAATAAAATAGAAGGAAGCAAATGCTGATCATTTACAAAACACACACACATCACACACAAGATCCACCCAAAGAGACACACATACATACAGAGGGCATCAAGAGCAGAGCAGTTTGGGGGCCATTCATGAAATGGCGGGTCTTATTATCCACTTCTCAGGGGCCCAACGGATAGAAGACAGAATAATTAGTTGGAAGGGGCCCTGGAGGTCTTCTAGTCCAGTCCCCCGCTCAAGCAGGAGGTCCTACACCATTTCAGACAGTCTCTTCTTGAGAACCTCCAGGGATGGAGT